AACCTCTGTCTCCCAGGTTCAAGTGATTCTCCTGCCTCAGCCTCCTAAGTAGCTGGCTGGGATTACAGGCACATGCCACCATGCCTGGATGATTTTTATATTTTTAGTAGAGACAGGGTTTTGCCATGTTGGCTAGGCTGGTCTTGCATCCTTACCTTAAGTGATCTACCACCTCTGTCTCCCAAAGTGCTGGGACTACAGATGAACCACCACGCCTGGCCTGACGGATTTATTCTTAAAGTGTGGAGACACCTGTCTTTGGATCCGATACTGTGTTTTAGAACTTGACCTTCTTCAGTCCCAAGTTCTTCCTCATAGTTGCTTCAAAGTCTATCTGCTAACATTTAAACTTGAGTCTATTTTCAAAGACATGTCTTAAAAGGAAAGGCCACTTATTATAATGACTGCATTACAGGACCCAGTTACATAAGACATCTATCTTCCCAGTCATCCTTTGCATTGGCTACTATTTAAATAAATTTGTATTTCCCAGGTACATCCTAACTCCACAAATAGAAAGTGGCCAGGGTGGCTGGGATGAGTGATCCCAAGAATCTGATTTGGGCTTTGACCTTAGACTTGGATACTCCATCCAAAAGTTTATTACCATTTGGCTTGAGTAGAATGGAGAACTGAGAAAGTCATTTCCTCTTGTTCTTTTCTTTGTGAAAGAAGAAACAGCTGGCTCTCCTTGTAAGAACTTAGCCTCACCCAGACTTCAACTCCAGGAACCACTCTTTGAGGATCTTGTCCCAGACTCCAGTTCAAAGTGAGTTCACTTCATCCAAACTGTTGTAGAAGTTTTTCTTGAGACAGGATCTTGCTCTGTTGCCCAGGCTGGAGCGTAGTGTGCATCATCATGCTCAGCTTTTTATTTCCTTATTTGTATTTTTTGTAGAAACCATGTTTCCTTATGCTGCCCAGGCTAATCTCAAACACTTGGGCTCAAGCGATCCTACTGCCTTAGCCTCTGAACGTGCTGGGATTACAGGCAGGAGCATGACACGCAGCCTGGAGAGGGCTATAGAGTGGCAGCAGAGTGGGCAAGCACAGAAGTGACAGAGGGAAATCACATCAGATGGAGTTGGTCTCCCTTGCACACAGAGAAAGACCCAAAGCAGCACTATTCATGGGGTAATTCATCACATTGCCCTGTGCTCTCATGCATCGTAGTCACCCATTATAAATCAATTTCTATTCTTTTTTTTTTTTTTTTGAGACAGAGTTTCGCTCTTGTTACCCAGGCTGGAGTGCAATGGCGCGATCTCGGCTCACCGCGACCTCCGCCTCCTGGGTTCAGGCAATTCTCCTGCCTCAGCCTCCTGAGTAGCTGGGATTACAGGCACGTGCCACTATGCCCAGCTAATTTTTTTTGTATTTTTAGCAGAGACGGGGTTTCACCATGTTGACTAGGATGGTCTCAATCTCTCGACCTCGTGATCCACCCGCCTCGGCCTCCCAAAGTGCTGGGATTACAAGCTTGAGCCACCGCGCCCGGCCCAATTTCTATTCTTAGTAATAACCGTTAACACTTAACTGTTCGCAATAATAAACAGCATATGGCTAACATTTATTAAACCTTTATTAAATCACCAGACCCTGTACTAAGGATGCTTTTAGCATTGTCTCAATCCTCCCAGTGACTATGAGGTTTTTATCCTCATTTCATAAAAGACAAAACAGACTTAGAAAATAAAGTTACTTGCCCAAGGTCACATGGCTAGCCCAATCTTGATCCCTAGACTCTGAATCCAGAAACTGCTCTCTTAGGTTAAAAAATTCTATTAAACCTAGCACAAATCCTCTTGCATATAACAGGGCTGTCACAACTGAAAAATGGGCAGAAGAACTGAGGTCTCTGTTTGCACATCTCCTTTTGACATCCCTACCATCCCGTGCCCCCACCTTCTCCACTAGTCCTGCCTCAACCATGTTGAGTTGATAGATCTATTCTGCAAACAAGTCTTCCAAAAGGAAAATCGAAACCCAAGTGTCTTTTTGAATGTAACCAGAGAGCAGCTGATATCAGTGTTTAAGATGCTGGAATAAAGGTAGCTGTGTTTACCTCCACACAGGCACTTGCTGATGTGGGAGGGCTGGCTTTATTCCACTTTGGACATCCAGGTCATATCAATGCCTGGGAGATACTTCACATCCTCAGTGATATTCCACGTCGCTGATGTGAAAGCCTATCTCCATCCTCTGGCCTTCTCTAATATAGTATGGCTAGAATGGAAGGTATAGAAACATGGGAATGAAAGCTCTGATTTTTTTTAAGCTTTGGCTTATTCTGGGCTCAATTTATATCTGAGCAAATGGTTTCAAATCTCATCCATATGTATTTCCCACTAATCTGAAAAATCACTCAAGACACAGAGGAACATCTAGACATCCTAACTCCAGCACTGGAAAGGAGGGCTGGGGTGTGTCATCCTCCACAGGAGGGGTGTTAGTCACAGGACGTGATAAGAGGTGGGCTCCCAGAGACCTCGAGAAAGGAACGATGACAGAAAACAGATCAGGAACCATCAGCTTAATCCTTCTCCGAACATAAGACATCTCTTTCTGACACTACAATCTAGTGCAAAGAACAAAGGGATGGCTATGCATCCCCCCAAAATTTATATGTCAAAGCCTTAACTACCACCCCCAACCCACCCCCACCCAACCCCCACCCACCCCCCACAATTTGATGGGATTTGGAGATGGGCCTTTGAGAGATACTTGGGGTTAGATGAGATCATGAGGATAGGGCCCACATGATTAATGTTCTTATGACGGACATCAGAGAGCTCTCTTTCTCCCTATCGAATGCAAAGAGGTCATGTATACACACACAGTGAGACTGTGGCCACCTGCAAAACAGGAAGAGGGCCATCACCAGGAACAGAAATGATCGGCACCTTAATCTTGGATTCCCAACCTCCAGAACATCAAGAAATAAATTTTTGTTGTTTAAGTCATCCAGTCTATGGTATTTGTCATGGCAGCCCAAGCAGACTCATACAGATATCTAAGTCAGAAAGGAGTTCAAATCCTGATGCCACGGCTCATTGCTGTGTGCCTTTGGACAAGTTATTTAGTTTCTCTTATGTATGATTTTCTTCTTTGTCATTTCCTTATAACAAAGTGCTGTGGGGAGGGTTGAATATGTTGATGCAGGAGGAAGGCGCCTAGTGTTTTCCGAAACTCAGCACCCCGAAGCGTCAATGCCTCCCCGATGCGTGCAATGGCTGGTATTAGAAAAGGGTAGCTTCTTGGCCATATTCAAGCCACAGATGTGTTTTGTTTGGCCTGCACCGGTGTTTGGTGAAGTCTGGATTATTTACCAACATTTAAAAGTCAGAACATTTCACATAATCATCCCAATTTCCAGTTCTTCTTGGAAAATAAGAGTTGTATCACCAGCCCTGTGTGCTGCCAGTGTAATCCTCTTTCGACAGAGGGCAAGATCTCACTGCCAAGCACCCACACCAGCTTCACCCACTCAGAAGACCCGCTTGGTCCCTGAAGGCCTTTGGGTTAGCAGTCCCTGGGCTACCTTGGCTGGTGAAATCTGGCTTGTCTACTTTTTCCCAGCTGTCCACGAACAGAGCTTTTAAGTACAATTTCAGGATCAGCCTCCCAAAGTGAAGAACAATTAGCACATTCCTGAGTCACTGTTTTATTTATTTATACTTCTATTGTGAACTAAAGAACCTCATGGAAAGGCCAGAATTTTAGTTCTTAGAGAAAAATGAAGCTTTGCAACTTGGCGGTTGACTGACCCAGCTTTGCCCCCATCACTCAACTTCTTGGGGCCTCAGTTTCCTCCTTTGTAAAATGAGGCCTTGGGCTGGCTATCTTTTGTCTTTTTCCACATTTATGTAAGTATGATGTGAAATTCAAGAACGTGGGTGGAAATGTAACACAATTCTAAAGACTTTAATGAAAGCAGAGCTCTTAAAACACCTCCCCGACCTTAACACAGACCTTAACTAACTGTAAACAGGACCAGAACAATGGACTTGTTTATTGTTCTGCCCTCTCCAGGGTTGGGTCTTTAGCCTTGATGTTCCGCACTTAACATATCCAGAAATGAATGTCAGGGCATTAAAAGACCTGATGGATGGATCTCCTATCCCTAGGAGATTCTGGGGCAATGAGCCCTGCCTGACTTTCTGCTCTCATTTCACCAAAACACAGACCTAGCTGCACAACTATCCAACTTCTGGCGCTCTACGCACGTGGATGGGTCTTCTTTTGGTTCCTTGCTCGTTGCAACCACAGGAACTTTGCACATGCAGTTTCTACCAACTGGAGCCCTCTTCACCTAGGTAATTCCCATGGATGTTACAGATCATAGCAGCAGCTTCACATGCACCATTCCTGGCTTCCACAGCAAAAATCAAGTCATTCTAACATGCTTTTATCACGTCAGCTGTGTTGGAGTAGCTGTCTTAGTGGCACGTTTGCATTTCACACGTGTGGCTAGTTGCCTAATGATTCTCTTCCCAGTGACTATAAATCCCATGGGGGCAGGATCCATGTCTGTCTTTGGTCCTTGTTGCCTCTCCAGTGCCTGGCCCACAGAGAGGCACTCAAATATTTGCCAGTAAGTCACTTAGTAAAAGGAAGAACAGCAATAGAACCCCAAGCAGTCTGGTTCCAACCACTAAGCCGAATTGCCTATTATGGTGCCTAATGGTTAGGAAGGGCACAATAAATGCTTACAGAATAAATGACAGCTGCCATCTATCAACCCCCTCTCCCTTCCCCCACAAAACACACTATGTACTGAACAAACAATTCTCTCTGGATCACAAGTCTAGACAGATACAGGTCTCAGAACTCAACGGCCATGAAAGTCACATAGGACAGAAGAAGCAATAAGAACTATAAGAACCAAGCAAGAAAAAAAAAAAAAAAAAAAAAAACCATAAGGCTCCTAAGAGGGTAGCCCCTTTTTCCCTGTTCAGACTTACAGGGGAAAATGGCACCAAGTCTGGCCTGCCACGTACCTGATGTTTTCGTTCAGGGCATAGAGCTCGTTGCTTTGCAGTCCACCCCCTTTGAAAACGTTGATCACAGCAGTCTGAACGCTACAGGAAAAGAGAATAATCCCCGGTTAGAGAATCTCCCTTCTAGGGCCATTTCAATGAGCAGCTCAGGGCTGAAGGTGGGTGGAGTGACCAGGAAGCTCATGGCACAAACCTGGCCACACTCTCCATCCATCCTCTGTTTCCTCCTCAGTGTCCTTGAAGAGAAAAGAAGACCAAAGCCGAAAGAACTCAAAAGCGGCCCCCATTTTCTTGCAACCCAGCAGGGCTTCCTCCCTCACCTTGCTGGCTGCGCTGCGGGTGCAGCCACAGTCAAGGGCAGGCAGTGGGATCTGATCGCAGGAAACCACGTGGGTCTGGGAGATTCCAAATGGCGTTTCCTGCAAGCAGAAGCTGACCCGTGCCTGGGGTTCTTTCACAGCCACTGTCTTCACAGGGAAGCTTGGTGGCCTTGAGCTAATACGAACTGGTAATCCCTTGCCTTTTTAACAGCACTTTCCTTGGAAGAATTTCCAGCAGGCAGCCTTACAGGGCCCTCGTATTTCCACTCCTGTGAGGTGTACGGTAGTAGAGTTAGTCAGGACTTACTCCACAGCCTCTGGGACCACAGCCCAGTGTTTCAGCAAAATTGCTGCTTGCCATCTTGTCTCTATCAAGGGCCCTGGCCTTTTCTTTTTTGTTTTATTGAGACAGTTTTGTTCTTGTAGCTCAGGCTGGAGTGCAATGGCACGATCTCGGCTTACTGCAACCTCTGTCTCCCAGGTTCAAGCAATTCTCCTGCTTCAGCCTCCCCCTTTTCTTTAAAGAACAGGGATCCACTTAACACCAAAACATTCTGGAGCCCCCTCTCCCCACCCATATCAGAGTCGTGCTTTCTGTGTCCATTCATTGAAGATATCCATAATGGTCGGGGCACGGTGTCTCACACCTGTAATCCCAGCACTTTGGAAGGCCGAGGCAGGTGGATCACCTGAAGTCAGGAGGTCAAGATCAGCCTGGCCAAGATAGTGAAACCCCATCTCTACTAAAAATACAAAATTAGTCAGGCATGGTGGCGCACACCTGTAAACCCAGCCACTCAGGAGGCTGAAGCAGAATTGCTTGAACCCGGGAGGCAGAGGTTGCAGTGGGCCACACTTATAGGGGAAAACGGCGCCAAGATCGCACCACTGCGCTCAAGCCTGGGCGACAGAGCAAGACTCTGTCTCAAAAAGAAAAAAAAGAAAAGAAAATATCCATAATGACCCAAACTACAAAGAATTCAATCATGCTTCAAAGTAATGATGCATTTAATTTCTCCAAACAATATCTGCAAAGATTTGAAAAACAGTAGCCCATAAGCATGTAAGACATAGTGCTGATTCAGTCTGCTCAATTCTTGGTGCACGAGAGGTTGGCTAGACACCTAATAAAACTCTGTGTCTCCTCTTCTGAGCACCTGTGGCTCACAGGTCTTCCTAATCTTTGGTTTATGCCACTCATTTACTTTTTCACAGACATGTTTTATCTTCCCAAATGGGAAAATAAGTTACTTAAGATTACTTATATAAGCCTACCCTCGGATACTGACAGTTTCAGGTGTGACTAATGAGCGTGAATAGTGACTATAAATTCCAGTGCAACTGTCCCAGTCTGATAAACTGCCTCTGACAGGCCAGAGGCTCTCAGTGGTCTATTTTCTGACTACTAAAACAAAGAAAGCTAACAGACACCTGGATGTAAAAAAAAACAAAAAAACAAAAAACAAACTTGTTCCTGTTCAGGTGTGGTGGCTCACATCTGTAATCCCAACACTTTGGGAGGCTGAGGCAGGTGGATCATGAGGTCAGGAGATCGAGACCATCCTGGCTAACACGGTGAAACCCCATCTCTACCAAAAATGTAACAAATTAGCCAGGTGTGGTGGTGGCCACCTGTGCTCCTAGCTATTCAGGAGGCAGAAGCAGGAAAATCCCTTGAACCCGGGAGGCAGAGGTTGCAGCCAGCCGAGATTGTGCCACTGCACTCTAGCCTGGGCGACAGAATAAGACTCTGTCTCAAACAAAGAAACAAAAAACAAAAAACTTGCTCTCTTGGCCAGGTACAGTAGCTCACACCTATAGTCCCAGCATTTTGGAAGACTGAGGTGGGAGTGATCTCTTGAGGCCAGGAGTTCAAGGCCAGCCTGGGCAGTATATAGAGCAAGACCCCGTCTCTTAAAAAAAAATTTCTTTAATTAGCAGGGCGTGGTGGCATGCACCAGCTACTTAGGAGGCTAAGGCAGGAGGATCACTTGAGCCCAAAAGTTTGAGGCTGCAGTAAACTATAATTGCACCACTGTACTCCAGCCTGGGTGACAGAGTAAGACCCTGTCTCTACAAAAAGGGGAAAAAAAAAAAAAGAGAAAACTTGCTGTTATCATCATTTGCTTCCATAATCACGACCTTCCCAGTATCAGCGGAAGCTCAGTCAGTCCCCGGGTGCCTCCCTCCCTGCCGTGGCCCTTGCCAGCCCTCCCACCTCACACCCTGCCGCCTCCTTCACCTGTTCCAGGCTGAGCTGGAGCTCAGCTGCAGAGTCTGCCGAGTTGCTTGGAATCGGGGAAGGTCGCTGAGCACGGGGGAGCTCATGAAGCGTGGTCTAGGCCTGCGGAAGGAGCCCATCTTGTGGAACTCGATGGGCAGAATGGGAGCGAAGCCTCGGGTCATAAGTCCTGGTGGCGGTTCAGCTTCACCTCTAGGATGGGAAGGTTCCGGATGCCCTCGGAAAGGGCTTCTCCTGGGGCTGCCTTCAGGCCCTCAGGCTTTCTTAAAACCACAAAGGTAGCCAACACCTGAAAAGAGAGGGCAGCTTTTATTGAGAACTCCTGGCCTGAGAACATCTATTACAGGAAGCTGGTTGGGACTTTCCAGCCTAACTACCCCCAAAACAACTGCGGGATCTAGACAGTTCCCATTCACAAGTTTATACAGGTCTCTTTTTGGTTGTAACAGTGTGGCCACCCTCAAATGGGAAGACAGTGACAATGGGGCCAGGCTAAGGCAGAAAAATGATTTCTAAGGAGTGCTAGACTCTGGTTCCAATATGCACCCATCAGTTGGGGCACCGCCTGGGTCCTATGGTCCATGATGTGCAGTAAGAGGTGGATTTTTTTTTAAATGTCTCAAGGAGGACACAAGAGCTCCTCATCCTGAAATTGATGACCTTCCATGATATGCATGTATGTATCATTTTAGCTCCAAGCCCAACAAGTTTGTGTTTGGAGAGAGGTGAACTTAACTATTAACTACAAGTTGTATGTCTTTGGTATCCTGATTTTCCCATTCCTAAAGATGAATTTCACAAAGCCATAAAACATGAAATTGGCCGACCATCTGTTTCCTGGCCTGGTCCTGCAGTAAGAAGCATGGTCTTAGAAGGGTGGCCCTTCCCCTTGGAGGCAAGAAGAGAGAATGTGCTATGTGTCTTCCTGGCTTTCAGTATGGAGTTGGTAGACCAGGGGTTACCTGACTGGGGAAAATCTCACATCTCCTTGTCTGAAAACGTTTCCCTTGCTGTTCTCTTTCTAACATGTTGTCATAAATCTGTTCGGATACTGTTCATCTGACTGTTTTGTACATGTGACAATTGCCTTAAAATATAGCCCAGTCCTCAGAAAAAAAAAAAATGGCAGTCTACGAGTATTGCTCAGTTTTCCTCAAAGTACCAGTGTCTCGTCACTCAGGTAAATCTCACCTTCCCTTACCTGCTGTTCCTTCCCTCATTTTATCAGGACACACTCACTGAGTGTTTGCTATTTAATAACCACTGTGACTTGTAGACCATCCAAAGATTTCTAAGACCACATCCCTGACCTCAGAGGATTCTGTCTATGGAGAAGATAACTGTCTTTTCAAGTATTCACTCATGCAATAAATGTTTATTGAGCAGCTACTATGCACAGGCACTCAGGTACTGGGAGATATAAGATGGCTCCAGAGGCCATGGTGCTCTACCCCATGGAGCTTGCAACCAGCAGGCACTGTTCTGTGCCATGCATAGTCCTTCCCCCACACTTTTACTAGTACCAACTGCTCCTCTTGCCCAGAATTCTATTCCTTTTCCTCTCTGCTTATTTAAACCTACTAACCCTGCAGGGTTAGGTTCAAGAACACTGTCCCCTTGTAGCAGTTCTTGGGAGACTTCATGACTTCATGGTTAAAAGCAGTGGCTGCAGGTTTGAGTCTGAACTTGGCCACTCCCAAGTTGTGTGACTTTGGACACACTGAATCTAAAGTCCACAGCTGTTACTGATGCCCACTTTCCAGAACTGGTGAGAGACGAAATGCGACCATGTGACATGCCCGGCAGCATGGCCGAGCCAAGCGCCTCAAGGACTGGCTATTTCCATTCAGATGAATTTCTGTCTTTCCTCAGTACCTTTGGACCCATAATTTCAGTCTCTTAGTCTTCAGTGACTCTAAAGTCTAAATGAATGACTTAAAAAGTGAGTTTTAGAGAATTCAGCAGAGTGAAGGACAAAAGGAAACACCAGGAATCTCATAGCCACTTTTTACTTGGGGGTTTACTAGGTTTAGTCTGGAAGTATTTTCACTGCCATCTCTTAACAGCTAACTCTGCTATGTCCCAAAAACTAATGATGCAAGAAAAAGATATTTTAGCCTTAAGTCAACCTTCAGGCTGCCAGGGGAGAAAGTTTTGCAGCTCCAGCTGGTTAGCATTTGAAGCAGGAGGAACTGAAGTCTCACTTCTGAATCAAACATGCTGCTGTGGTCAGAAGAGTGAGTTAGGCCACTCAGATGGGCACAGAGGTAAGCCATCAAGAGGGCACGGAGGTATTAGCAGCAGTCTGTAGGCAACAGGCACAGAACAAGGAACTTGTAATACAAAAAGGCGGAAAAGAAATGGCTTGTCCTGTCTCTTAACATTTTCTCTTTTTTTGAGACAGAGTTTTGCTCTGTCACCCAGGCTGGAGTGCAGTGGCATGATCTTGGCTCACTGCAACCTCCGCCTCCCGGGTTCAAGCAATTCCCTGCCTCAGCCTCCCTTTGGAACTGTAATTTCAGTCTCTTAGTTTTTAGTGGCTCTGAAGTCTAAATGAATGACTTAAAAGTGAGTTTTAGAGAATTCAGCAGAATGAAGGACGAAAGGAAACACCACGTAGCTGGGATTACAGGCGCCTGCCACCATGCCTAGATAATTTTTGTATTTTCTTTTTTTAGTAGAGATGGGGTTTCACCATCTTGGCCAGGCTGATCTTGAACTCCTGACCTTGTGATCCACCCACCTCAGCCCTACAAAGTGCCGGTATTACAGGCGTGACCCACTGTGCCTGGCTTAACATTTTTTTATCTTTTTTTTTTTAATGGAAAGCAGACTTATGTCCTGTTTTCTTATATAGTCTTTGCCCCTTCACCCCATGCTCAGAATTTTAACAGTTTTGTTAAACTTTATCAACAGGCCTGTTAAGCTTCAGAAGGCCTCGGCCGCTTCATAAATGCCACTGCAACTTTGAAAGATCTACACAAATCAATAAATGAGGTGAAGAAGAAATAAAGCCACAGAAGGTCCTTCTGCATCCTTAAACTGGCTAGCTTTGGGGATTTAACTAGCCCAGTAAAGGTCACACTACTAAGACAGGATCCATTTCACTGCCCTTCTTCAAATGGGCCTGCTAAGTGCAATTCACCTGTGTAATTACAGGATATTAACTCCCTTTATGAGGATCTTAAACTTGAGGTAATGGAGCTGCCTCTCATTCCATGGCACTGGTACAAGGAAGTAGAAAAGAGAACAGAATGGATCGTTTCAGGTGTTTACCCACCACTTTCCTGCCAAAACACCCATTTCTCCAGGAGGCTGTGAGACACTGAGGATGACAGGCTCCTGTCCCCCTTCACTTCTCAGTTAGTGTCCCCAGGCCTCCTGGTCCAGCAAAGTGCCTGGGCAGCCGCTCTTAAATGACGGTCCTTTTCAGCCAAAAACGACGACCGTGGCTCTGGTGGCCTCAGATAAACCGCAGAGTCACACACGAGTTGCCACTGGCTATTTTTCTCCTCCCGAATCCGTGACTCTCAATCCTTACAGGTGAAGAGAATGTGCAATGTCTCCATCATTCCTACTCGGGGCAGAGCCAAGAGACCTCCCCTGAGCACCACGGGGAGGAAGGAGGAGGCCGTTGGGAGCATTGACAAGAGTGGCCTAAAGGGAAACGCTGATACACCGTGGGTTCACCTGCTACAGCGCTGACCCCGCAGGCACAGGCCTGTCCTGACCTAAATGTGACAAGTCAGAAAATCACGGAACAGACAGGGCCTCGGAGTGGGGCCAATCCAGGTCCCATTTACAGGTGACAAAGGTACAGCAAAGAAGCAAAGAAACTCTTCCAAGGTCCTCAAGGCAGGAAGAGAGGCAGGACTGGTGAGAGCTGTTCTCCGACGCCTGACTGAGCGTGTTCCCCAGCTCCCACCTGGGCCCTTCTGCAAAGCTGAAGACAGGCACTGGGCTTTGTTCACCTCTGTATTCTCAAGTCTAAGCTCACTGGTATAAAAAAGGTTGAAGGGAAAGATGAGAGTTAAGAAGGCATTGGCTAGGCTGGGCGCAGTGGCTCATGCCTGTAATCCCAGCACTTTGAGAAGCCAAAGCAGGTGGATCACCTGAGGTCAGGTGTTCAAGACCAGACTGGCCAACGTGGCAAAACCCTGTCTCTACTAAAAGTACAAAAATTAGCCAGGCATGGTGGTGCATGCCTGTAGTCCCAGCTACTCAGGAGGCTGGGGAATTGCTTAAACCCGAAAGGCAGGGGTTGCAGTAAGCGGAGATCGCACCACTGCACTCCAGCCTGGGTGACAGAATGAGGCATCTCTCTCTCTCTCAAAAAAAGGAGGCATTCGCTACCTGGCTGACATGAAGCCAGGCATTGTCACAACACATAAACTTACTCAACCCTCACAAAATACCAGTTTGAATAACAGAGAAGTTAAGTAATCTACCCAAAGTTACACAGCTAATGAGTGACTGGCACCTCATTCCCCACCCATTCCTGCTTTTCCATGCTACCAAACTCAGCCAGAAAACCAGAATTGAAGCTATCAAGTTAGGAACTAAATTGCTACCAAGTTAGGAACTAATCTCATTCCTCTGAGATAAATAAACTGGCATGAAGAACTCTGTGACCGCATTTCATGGGGCAAGAGGATGGTGAGAAAGGATGCAAGGAGAAAGCACAGCGACCTTAGTTAGATACCCACTCCCCACTAGCTCTGTGGCCTTCATTAAGTTACTTGACCTCTCTGAACCTTAAATTCCTCCCACATGAAATAACCCTGAGTGACTACCTCAGGGTTGGAAGAGGATTAAATGAGTAAATATTTGTCAAGCTCTCAAAAGCATACCTGGCAAGTAAGTGCTACGTAAGAGCTCGTTAAATAAATAAAATCACATTGTTGTAGTTATTTCTAAATTGCCAAGCCATGACAGTAGTGGGGATACAACGACAGCCCCCTCTGCTTCTGGTGACCTCAGTAGCATCTGGAAATACTCCGCTGAGGAGCAGGCACTGAGCCCACATCCTGGTCACAGGGCACTCACGCTTGCCTCCTTAAGCCTTTGATAACTCATGACGTTATTTACTGACCCTTCACCTCTGTGTAGCAATTCCTTAGTTTGAAAGTGTTTTTCCACACATGGTTGTGGTTCTAAGTCTTACCTCAGTCCTGTAAGGCAGATGGAGCAGAAAGTCTGTCACAAATTAGGAAACTGAGGCCTGAGCAGGTGCCTGACCCGGCCAAGGCTAGAGAGCTGTCAGGTGAGGGTCTCAGCCCCAGCTGGAAG